ATCTTATTTCAATAAATCTCAAGGAAGCTCCGTTAACAGGTATGTAGATGTAGCGAAACTCCTTTGTGGTATGGGATCAAAAGAGGCACGAGATGGGGCATTGGGAGGAGTATTTATGTGGGGTAGATAGTAGATGGAGCGCACATCCTGATAGCTTCGGAAACACAAAATGTAACGCGCACTCCACCGGCTTCTCCGAAAATTGAACGCGGAACAACGTTTGAAAAGTCAAGGCAAGAAATCGAAACCGTGTGACACGAGACAAGCAAGCAGCACAAAGAAGAGGGCAGAGTCGATACCGTTGACTAGTTTTTTGGTATGACTAGGCAAGTCCGGGTCGAACCTAGTTTGGAGTAGCTAGCGAGATGTAATAAGTGTGTGGAAGACCAGATGATATCTAGGGAAAGAAGGTGCACTTGTGGGCACTTTCCCTTTTATTTGCGTGTACCAGTGGTAATGCTTTCTTTTCTTGTCCCAGGAGCCTCTGCTGCTGCCGGTTGCTGCCCTCCTACGTGAAGGGTAATGGGCTGCAAGCAGTTCAAGCGAACGAACCAAGAAATGGATGTGCCTTGCGAGTGTCATTCGCTGACGCAGGCACGCAGCCATGTTCTTCACTTCACTTCATGAGGCGGGTCCCAAAAGGACACTAAAGATCTGTGAACTCATCCGAAGACCTGTGACTTGGATGATAGCTTAAAGTGTGCGAAGGATGCCCTGCCAGAACCGGGGCGAGTGAGATCAAGGTATGAGTACGGCTGAGTGAGTGCATACGGGGTTTGATCTTTCGTTAAATGACCCAAGGTGGCAGAGGGTGTTTGTACCTTAAGCTAGGCCAGTCTCGGGGACCAGACGTTAGCACAAGTCCCGAAGGATGTGCAAAAGGCGACGGAGTTGCATCTAGCCAGGCAATGCGAGGCATTGGTGGTGGGGTGGATTCAGAGAGGGCACAGTCGCACTGGCACGCATGATGGAGGGGGTTTTTTGACAAGAGAGAAAGGCAGCTTGTGGGGGCCCGAGGAGCGGGTCGATTTCTCGGGACATTGCAGCGAGGCCTAGAATCCCTGAGGACAAGGTGAGTGAATGAACGAGAGCGGTGAAAGGGCGTCTGAGTGTTGAGGGTGAGTGGGTTTGAGTGAATGAATGAGTGAGTGGGTGGGTGAGGGAGTGAATGAGTGTGTACTGGAGGGACAAGTATAGATCACCTACGGTACTGTATCCCTTCTTCCTCCTCCTTCCTAGGAATAGCTACAATACAGGATGATTCTGATCAGTGCATTGCTCCGCCCCCTTAGGAGTAGCCATCCGTTCGCCCCGTCTGTTAGACATAATAGGAATGGTATGCTCTTGCTGCAGACCGCAAAAGAGGACAACTTGGAACAGGTGACGAACCGTTAGATGCGTTGACCAAGCGTTGAGTCAGGGGAAGACGAGATGCCCGTGATGTTGACGATGTTGCCGCTAGAGTAAAATTACGGCAGTTAATGTTCTACGATGTTTGTAGAAGCAGCCGGGTGGTTAAGTCAGAGACAGAAATAAAAGATGGCATAGGAAAGCACCATACGGCGGCGTAAGTATTCTATTGCGATCCTGATCCCCATTTGCCTGGATCTCGCTCTCCCTTTTCTTATTTTCTTCATCCGATACGCCGATGGTGGGGGCAAGCGGGGCAGAGCCTCCGGTTGGATTCGGTTGGGTGCGATATCCGTGAGCCCAATGTCAGAAAAAGCCAAAATGGGGTTACCGTGGTTAGTGATGGCGTTGGTGGTGGTGGTGGTGGTGGTGGTGATGATGGGGGTGACGGTAGTGATGGTGGTGATGGTGGTGATGGTGGTGATGGTGGTGGGCTGCAGGATAACTGACAGCACCCCAACACCGCACACTTGAGAAGTTGCTCTCGTTCTAGGTTCCTTCCATGCTCCTTCCTTTACCGTAGTGTTCTCGGCTACAATAGAGAGATTCCTAGCTCATCCCGTTTTTAACCCCGCCAAGCTTTTTTATTTCATTTCTATTCCCTATTCCCACGCTTCATCGTCCCGTACAATCTCTTCCCTTCCCTACCCTTATGGTGCTCGAGTACCGGTAGAGACCTTTCCATCATCTCACTGGCAGACCTTTCGATAACCGACCACAGTCCACCAGCACACCGCAAACGAACCAAACCCAAAAATATCCCCCCAGATGCCGACAGTTAACTTTTGGAGAGCCCCCTGGGCTTGTCTTGCCCTTTATCGACAGTCTTGCATCATAGCTTATCCCGTCTCATCACTATCCACAGTTCCAAAATTTTTGCCTCGCTTCACAGCCAGGCAGCCCTTCTCGACCTCGCTAACTCCGCTAACTCCGCCTCTCGCTTTTCGGTCTCTTGTTTCAATCACAAACTTCACACCCCTCACCCTCCACCATTCGCGGAACACGTTTTCCCGCAATAACAACCAAGTACGAGTACGTGGAATGAAGGTGCGATCGGCCGTTAAAAAATTGTGCGATTGCTGCAAGGTACTGTGATCACGTTACTCCTGTCGACCCCAATTTTCCTTTCCTTGTTTTCATTGGTGCCGAGCCTCGCTACCCCCCTTCAATTTCCACTTCGTTTGCTGTTTTGACATTTTTTGGTTGTGATTCGAGTGGTCTGGCTGACAGAGCCTTGCAAAACGCCCAACAGTCGGTCCGCAGAAAGGGTAGAGTCTACATAATTTGTAGCAAAAATCCCAAACATAAACAACGGCAGGGCTAGCTCCAATCTCTGGGCCATGCTGGATTTAGGGGGGGAGGCGGCCGGTGGTCGGTCCGTGGAATCAGTCACGCTCGAGTCACTGTGTGTGACTTGAAATGTTTGCAGAGGGAAAGGGGAGTGTACTTGTATTAGCGTCTTCTTTTTTTGCTATTACCGGCATTCTCGATCCTGCTACGGTATTCAACCTTGTCCATCACAAAAAGGCACCGGATGAAAGTCACCACAGTAGTTTTGTGTGCAAAAACCTTGGCGCTATCATGGTTGAACACGGAATACGAGCGCACGAACCATAAACTTGAAGGTGCACTTGGGTAAGATGTCGGTATCCTCCCGTAGGCCCCCGAGAGCATAAAAAGCCATCGCTCAAGCCGAGCGTCCATAACGCAGTGGAGTGAATAGGGTCATGGCTGAGGAAAAGAACCAACTCAATGGCGGTATTCGACGATCCGGTAAATTGATTTGGCGACATGTAATCGGAAAAACAAAAGTTCCGGTTCCAGAGTGGTGACAGCGAGGTACCCGTCCCTGAAAACCCAAAAGGACCCTTTGGGTGACGATAGGATCACCCTCCAGGTCGAAATTGCAGAGTAAATTTACGAGTACGGCACCATTCACGGGACAGCCGCTCGCCATGTTCCGAAGGTAATCACGTTATACTAACTAGCACAGTAATACTTTGATGATCCCTTTAATCTCCATTTTCTTGGCGGGCGAGTGGAGAGGGGAAAAAAAAACTTCCAACGGCGAAGCTCATCGCCCATCCGATGATGGAAAGAAAGAAAGAAAGAAGAAGAGCCCTCCTCCCTGTGCGACCAGTTCGACAAGGCAGCCTTGCTTGGTTGCCGTACTTGTACGAGTACTAGTACTCTGCATTGTACCCTCCCACTGCCTGGTTTGGCGACACCATTGCCATACGTACGGTACGACACTTTGTGCTCGAGTACCAGCTAAACTGGACTATCATATAGTGAAGTTCGTCCATCTATCGGGTCACGTACGAGTAGACTATAGATACTGTTGGCACGCACCTTACCGATAGAAGTGGTCCAACCCATCACCAATTAACTCAGTCCAAGCACACCACACACCCCTCATCAGCCCAAGCCTTAAGACGATCAAATACGGTATTGATGCTCGGACAAAGGTGCGCCGCATGCACTGCACATATCATACATACCCGTATGCAGTAAAACCGTCACATATCTCACACACTACGTAGTGAGAGCAATAGCAGTCGTAAATTGACATGCCCCGCCTGCCCGTACCCACTTTCCCATCCAACCGGCCAACGAACCAGCCAGCCCTACAGCGCGATCTTCCCCTTACCGGACCGGACACTAAAGGCGCGTGTGATACAGTACCGCTCTAGGTTTGGATACCTTTTCCCCATTCAAACATTCGACTGGGCCATTTCGTCCAAAAACGCCATACCTTACCCCCCCTCAGGCTTACCCCCTACCCCAGCTCACCTAGGTTTGCTGCTATTGAGGCTTGCTAATATATTTGACCCGATATCGTACACACACACTGGTACAAGTATCATAGCTGCTTGGGGCTACAAACACCTCTGTGCTCAGAGTATTACTTATTTATTCTGGCTATCATACCGTGCCGTACCTGCCATTCCTGCAGTGTGCTGTACGCTCTATTCTGGTGGATATATATATATTATAATTCCGGAGTCCCCGATCCGTCCTTTCCACCACCACCTCCTCCTCCTCCTCCTCCTCCACCTGCGAATTCCCTAAAGTCCGAATATGCCTTGCTTGTATCCCTCTACGGTGCTTGCCACCCATGAGGATACAAGCATCCACACAAAGGCTGGAGAGGGATCCTAAGCTCATTCGCCCAGTGCAGCACAATACGGTGCAGTAGTGCCATAGCCTGGACACGGTGTTTCGTACACTTCACAGACAAGCGGCGGACTACCTCGTTGCAGAGGTAATTGTCATTAACCTTGGTCGCTTTAAAGCACAAGGTCCTTTAATCCATCGCCAGCGAAAACCACCATATCATACCAAAATCACACCTCAATCACAAACAAGTGTGCCTTCCCTTCAACCCCTGCCCTGATCACTGCCACCCCATCCCCCTGGCTCACCCTAGAGCCTCAATTCAACCAGGCACGGCACATCCTGTACTCGAGTACCTGTATCACTCGAGTGACGACACATGAATCCTTCCTGGGCCCAACCAAACCCAGCCAGCGGGCCCACAAAGGGAGAGAGGAGAAGAGCTCAATAGCCCGCCGCACCCAACCTCGAGCCTAAAAAAGCAATAATAATCCACCAGAACATCACCAGATTTCGCAAAGGCACAGCGGATAACATAGAGAACGCTTGCGCGGTGCGCGGGATATCGGCCCGACGGAACCCGTTCATAAGACCAAGACTCGAACTGCAGCTACGGGAAACACTCCTACTGACTTACTACTATACTGTGCTAGTACTGTGCAAACATCGGGAAAAGCCCAGTAGGCCTCCCTCCTCCCCTAGCGTAATGGTGGTGGATACGGCACGAACAGGAACGGTCCGGTCAGTGCACCCAATTACCATTTTACCCGCGGGGAAAGTTCCAGTAGCATTTCTCGGCCGGTATGAGTTACTATGAGGGGTGTCGCCGGGGGGGGGGGGGGTTTGTCTTGTGTTTTTTCATTCCTCCCTTCCATCCTATTGCACAGGTACATTATTCTCGCCTCGCTTTCACTCCCACTTGGTTGATACGGCGCTATCGGTAGTTTACACCTCACCCTACCGTGCCGTACTGTGCTGTAATTTGTCGGATGTTTTTCCTTTTCTTCTTTTTCTTCTTCTCTTCTCTTCCCCCTTTTTACGCTTCTGCAGACACTGCCTCAAGATGATCGGATTTGGACCAATTAATCAGTCATGTGAGGTCACTCGCTAGGATGGGATTTTTTGATGATTTTTTTGTGGGAGGGGGGGTGGTGGCTTTTTTCTGGGGCTTGATGAGCCCCGAGAGTTTGTGAGGCGTTAGGATGGATGAAATCACGAGCAGTCACCACTCCGTTTTCCCTTTTTGTTGGCGAGTGTGAGCGTGTGAGTGCGGTGTTTGCCCGGTTTCTCAAGTTGTGATGGGTGGTTTGAGGCTGGTTGAACTCTGGTCGGATTAAGGGTTCGTCCGTCCGTTCCCACTCGGGTTTGATATTTTTACCTATCATACGCGCGCTACGGATGAAGTGTGGACACAGTAAGCGTGATAAGTGGGCCCGGTACCGTGGTTGGATTGAAGTGCAGTTCGAGAGGTCTCCATATTCCGCCTTGTGATACATATCGTCCTAGGGTAAGGTGCGCAATTGTTTTGGCAAGTTGGTTGAGGTGCTGGGACTTTTGGGTTCCCGGGTGTGAGGCTGGGTGGGTGTCTGGCGTGTTTGTGGGGGGGTGGGGGGCGCCTTGCACTATGAGCGTGGGAGATATGATACCAGGGAATTAGGTTAAACAACCTATAGTGAAAGTTCCGGATCTAAGTTGCTTTAACATATGATATGTATCATTATAATACCAAGAACATGACTCGGTCGAGTTCAGGAACCAAAAACACTGCTTGGGCAAGAGAGAAAAACAAAAAAGGCGGAAAAGAAAAAGAGAGAGAGGGGAGGGGGGGGGGAAGGAAACACAAGGAAAAACAAAGAAAGAAAGAAACACCGGACAGGTATGATATTCTACAAGTATGGTGTGGGAACTCTGTAGCCGGAGTAGACGGACATTCCTCCTGACTAAGTAATAGTATGTTAAGATTCTAAGAATTTCCTTGATATAGGTTAATGTCTTGGCAAAATTCTATTAACTGTATGCCGGATGGATATTGATGGGGGTTAACATGTCCAAAAATACCCTGGACATTCAATTCTCTCACCCAAAATCTGCCCCCTTTTAAGCTTCAATAACTTTATGAAAACAAAAGATATTTTGATTTTCTCTATTACTTTGAAGCCAACAAACTACTCTATCACCTAATAGAGTTATTTTTTTTGAACGGAATTGCTGTTAAAAAGTCTTTAGGCTTTGACTTTGGCCCCCAAATACCTCACTTTAGTGCTCCGGGTACAGAGTTCCCACACCATAAGGAACAGTACCGGTACTCGAGTACCGTAGTTGCACCCGCCAAGATCCACACCACCATTCCCGTTGCTTTTCCCAAACCTCAATACCAGGTAATCGTCACCTATGATACCACCACCACCGCCGCCGGGGGTTACCGAAAAGTGAAACAAAAAGAAAAGAAGAAAAAAAGGAAAACACAAGAATTGCTTTTGTTTAATCCCAGAAACGGTCAAGTGAAAAATTAGAAGATTCTAGGCACAATTGTTCTCTACCTGTACGAATATGGATGCTAGTGCTACGGTTTGTGCACCCGCAGACTCTGGAGTCTGGCTTCCGCAGCAATAACCTATCCAAATGCCGTTAGTATAGGCCCCATGAACGTTAGAAAGCTATACAGTAGTTATGTCCCATACCTCAACAGCCTGCTGGACCTCCAAAAGCAATCTTGCCTCCCTGAGCCAATCTTTGGCCAACACCCTCGCCCACCCACTAAGCTGATTCATTTCTCTAGCAGCATTGTCGATGTTCCCCTCCTCGAGGTAGGTCTCGGTTCTGGTCAAGATACTCTCCACGTCATCCCCCAAGGCGAGCCCCTTCTTCCTGAAGAGAACTTTGCTCAAAATCCAACTGGCAGCATGACCGGCGACTCCGGCATCTTCTGGGAGCAGAGAGGCCTTTCGGACCTCATCAGAAACACGACGGAAACGATCAATCAGCTGAGTAGGAGTTGAGACGCCCTTCTGGTATGCAAGAGGGTTGATGGAAGCAATGGCTGCCCGAACAACCTCGTCACCATCCGCCACTTCCTTCAAGGCGGCCAATTCCCGTAGGAAAGGCTTTGGCTGCTCGGGAGATTCATATGCTGCCCTAACAGCTTCTAGTGCCACATGCATTTGTTGGGTCTTCAGGTTGGCATCAAGGATATCCGTCCAAGCGGTCGAGAGCTTCGTCAATTCTTCAACAGATCCACGGAGCTCTTTCAATTTTCCAAGCCGCCCATTACGCTCGCTCTCGACCCGGTCCTCAATCTCCTGAATCCATTTTCTCTTCAACACAATGGCTTGCTCAAGCAATTCGTTCCGAAGACGGTGCCCAGCCACTTCGCCAGAGAGTTGAAGCTCCGTGTGGAGTTTCTCTCGGTACGATTGAGCCATCTTCTCGCGTTCGTTCTCGAATTCTTCCCTCCACTTATGCTCAATATTCGTGATTTCGTCGTCTACATTCTTGAGCAAACCCTGGGCTGCGGTGGTAAACTCCAGGTCCTTCTCCTTAACAGTCTTCTCCAAGCCCTGCTTCATGGATTCAATCCGCGAATTCAAGCATGAAAGCTCTGACTTGGCCGTAGCAATAACCGAATCAAACACATTGGGGGATTCGCTCTTGTTTACAAGAGAAATGATGGAATTGACCACTCCGGCTAAATTCCGCACAAGAGGATCCTCTACACCCTTCATGTTAATCAGAGCTATCTGTCCTGCTGGTGCATCTGGTCCCCCCGGCTTTCCAACAGCTTCAACCTCGGCAGCACCCTTTCTAGGATGCAAAGATCTCTCGCCGATGACCCTATCAGTGGCCGGCCGTGCAGTATCATCGGCCTCCGACCTAACGCGTGTATCTCTTGCCTCAGTCCCCTCCCCCTCCTGTCCCACTGTGCCTCGGGAAGAAACGTGAGGTCCATGTTTACCCACATCCATCACTTTTTTGTCCTCGGCAGGTTCAAAAACCTTCCATGTTGCACCGGAAGACTTTGGAATAACTACCTTGGGGGAGTCGATGGGTGGCGGGGCAACACGGGAAAGTGCGTTCGGGAACCTCCGGCGGAATTCACGTTCCTCAAAATAAAGAACAGCTTCTTCTCCGAATGGAATGTACTCGGTGAAAAAGTCGTGAAAGTTATCAGATTTTAAAGAGTAGAAAACGCCACCGGCAAAGGATAATCCTGTAAGGAATGTCAATCCAACCACAAAATTCCGGAAACGGTGAGTCTTCTTGGGCTGTTTTGGCGAAGTGGAAGGAGAGGATGCTGGAGATGGGGGCAGCGGAGGAGTAGAAGATCCGGAACCAGTTGCAGCCGGGGGGGGAACTTTAGGCACTGGTACCGGCGAGGATGTCGGTGTTTTCGCGGGAGAAGGCGGAGTAAGTGGCGCTTGAGTGGGCGAAGTATTTGATGGGGTGATGGGTGCTGTGGTTATTTTTGGAGCGGGAGAGTGAGGTGAAGCTGCTGCTGCTGGAGGAGGAGGAGGAGGCTTTGCGGGGGTCGCTGGACTTGCACTGCCAGGCGTGGGAGGAGGTTTGACATCCTTGGCACTTCCTTTGGCATCTGGACTGGGTCGGGGAGCTTTTGTATCTGCTAGAGATCTCTGGATGAAAGATGCACACAGCGGGCAATTGCGATTAGCGAAGAAATTCGTTAGACAATTCACTAGCGCTGTCACCTCCCAAGACAAATCAACGAGAGCAGAGTGTTTGCTGGGAGGGATGAATGGATACCTGTTGCTGGCACTGTGTCCGTTGGGGTTTCAACGAATGACGTGGATGTCGGCTGACGACGGAACGACCTGAAGAGCCAATTACTCTGGCCGAAGCCGATGAGGACAGGCGCAGCATTCTGAATTGATGAGATAGTCCAGAACTGTGAAGCGAATGCGATGAGGAAAAGAGGAGGGACAGGTGAGATGGGACAAAAAATTCGCAGGGGGCAGGGGGTAGAGGGGAGGCGGAGGTGGAAGTGGCGATGGAGTAGGGTATGATACTCGTACCGGTATGATACAGTGAATCCTCGATCTTCCCGAGCAAGCAAGGATTTTGCGATGATGCCGAGACATCCCACAGGTTCTTCCGGCGTACTCGTGTGGTGAGTTGCGGTACCGTACTGTACATTTTTTATTTTTCCTTATTCCGTCCTACCCGCGGATTTCTCTTCGCCAGAATTTGCTTTTACGGGATTTTCCTCATCAAAGCTTTATGCATCACACAAACGAAAAGAAAACAGTCTTTATGAACGGCTACCGGTAGTGTGCTGTAACAGCCAAGCCGACTGTTTCTTCTATTCGAACCACGAATACCAGTACCGTATCATTCTCCGACAGCCGACAGTAAATTACCGTGCACGCCCTTACTATGACAGAACCGATCATATCTTCCGGTAACATACATGCTCTCATATATTACGTGATACATCAGATGATAGTACCAGTGGTAGTAAAAAGAGCCGAAAAGCGCACCACCCGGTAACATGTGAAGGAAATCCCGGAGTAGTGCTACCATTTCACGATTTTCGAGATGACCTGGTGAAAGATAACTCGGCAGCATCGTGTTCTACAATCCGCCATGAAGCTACGGGAGAGTAGAAGTTCGTAAGAGTGAATTCCGGTCGGGACGCCTGGACTCGCATCGACGCTCGAATAGCCAGAGGGGGAATGGGGGGGTGTATGAAAAAAATGAAGATGAATAAGTGTAGAAAAACAGCGCTGCGTATCTTCCCTCAAACTGTCCCAGCCATTGAAGTCCCCAAATATCATTACTACAATCCTTCGTTTACCGGCCACAGTATAGGGTCCCACAAAAGCCCACGACCACAAAAGATGACTACCGAACAGAGAGACTAGACAAACAGGAAGAGAAGAAAGAAAGAAAAGAGCACAAAAGAACACACTTGATCCCATCCATGTACACATTACCCCGGAGTCACTCAGCAATTACACCCTTGTTGTTGCGCTGCGCTTGCGCCACCCAAGTTGACGCCTCGACCGCCAGCAGCACTGGCTCTTGTTGCTCCCCTGGGCCCTTGTTGGTCCAGCGGCAGCTTCTTCGCGATGGCGGTAAAGAGTTCCTTGACGTTTTCGGCGGTCTTCGCCGAGGTCTCGAAGAAGAGGAGGCCAGCTTCCCGCGCATACGCTTCGGCCTCGGCGGTTTCGATAGCTCGTTTTGAAGGAGAACCTGCCGGTGACGCAAGATCGAGCTTGTTACCAGCCAAAGCGATGACAATATTCTCATTCGCCTGACGTTGGAGTTCCTTGACCCACGCCTTGGCTTTATCCAGCGAAGACTAAAAGCAGGGTCAGCTCGTGTCACGAAGGCCGGGTAGAGGGTTGAGACAAAAGGAATCCGGGCAACTAACGGCTTGAGTAATGTCGTAGACCACGACAGCACAGTTGGCATTACGATAATACATGGGAGCTAGTGACTTGTAGCGTTCCTGACCAGCGGTGTCCCTTCGAAAGAAAAATAAATAAATCTAGAAGTTAGATCAGAGTAATACGAGATTGTAGCGTAACGCATATTGGGTGGGCAGTGGGCGGATGGCTACCATATCTCAAACTTGATGGTGGTGGTTTCATCCAGAGCTATTGTCTGTGTGAGGAATGCAGCACCGATCGTGCTTTCCCGATAATCGTCAAATTGATCCTATCGAAAAAGGTACATCAGCAACATAATTGCACAGGTGAAATTCCCTTCTCCCGTTCATCACGCAAGGCGGTTTCGCTTCAGAGGACTTACCTTAACAAACCGAAGTACCAGCGAGCTCTGGGATTTTTAGTTAGATAAGAAAAGGCCGCATCCGGAGGCGCGGAATGAACACCAACCTTGCCAACAGCGGATTCACCTATCCCAGTCAGACAAAAAGGGAAAAATCAGAGAATAGCTGAGGGAAAGCGATCGGGAGATATAGTTGGAGAGGGAGTGGGGCGATCAAAGCATACCTAGAAGGACGAGCTTAAACTGGGCAAAGCGTTGAGACTGCGTGGACGCACGTACATGAGACATGGTAGGTTCGGATGGACTGATTTTGGAATATCAAGGTGAAAGGTCTGGAGGAAAGGTTGAAGGGAAGGGGATGATAGGGAGTAAAGACCGAGCCCGGAGGGAAGGTGCGTGAGGGAGAGTTGGTGGATGTTGACGAAGACGATACAATGGAATGAAAGGGCCGGGGTTCTAGTCGGTAGGGTAACGGGGGAAGGGTGAAATGGCGATGCTTTGCGTTGTTGTTTGCGTTCTCTTTCCCGTTCGTCTTGGGATCCTGAGGCTCGAGGTTTGTGGGTTTGTGAAGGTTGGGGGTGAGGCGGGCGGTTTGTTGAGGTGAGGGATAGTTATTTCACTGTTTGAGGGTACTTTTGGGTAGAGCTGACGAGGGAAAGGAGGGAGAACGCAACCGCAGCTCCAGAGGGATGAATAAAGTTAGACAGCAACCACGAGCAGGAAGACCCAGACACGCACGCGATGAACCACTCCATCCCGACCATCCCATTCCTAACCCAACTTGAGCCTCCGGAGGCCAAGAAACAGTCCGGAGCGAACGTGCTGCGGTACAATACTACCGGTACGGTACTCGAGTATACTCGTACGTTCCTCCTCTTACTATTCCCGGACACTGGTTACCATATTGGGTCAATAGTTCCTCGCTCCATCGGATTAAACGTTCATAAATGATATAAATGATTCGCTTGGCCATCTTGGATCCCTGACCGAGACTGTGGGCCTCAAGCATGTCAGTGACGAATCACCTCCTGACTATCATTGCTGCTGCGTAACTACTCGAGTACAGTACCG